ACTTCTGCGCATGGGCCACGAAGTTTCAATCGCACTGTACGTGCGCGCCCGCACGTGGTATTTTGTGGAAGAGCCTAGACCAGGGGTGGGCAACCTTTTTGACTCGAGGGCCACAATGGGTTCTTAAACTGGACCGGAGGGCCGGAACAAAAGCATGGATGGAGTGTTTGTGTGAACTAATATAAATTCAAAGTAAACATCATTACATAAAAGGGTACGGTCTTTTTTTTTTTTTTTTAAGTTTTATTCATTTCAAACGGGCCGGATCCGGCCCGCGGGCCGTAGTTTGCCCACGGCTGCTCTATCCACTGAGCAAGCCGGTTAGGCCCCCTTCTCTTCTTATCCGACCGTGCAAGCCGCTCTGTGGTCGCTTCTAGCTACTCCCGTGTCAGACATTTGTCAGTTATCTGAGTGGTGCTGTGCTCAAGGCCATAAGCTCCCTGCTAGATAGGTACTAGGCGCACTGCCCCTCCTCCTGCCCCCCACCCCCATCCCAGCGCACAGGGCTTCTTTTATTTTTTTTAAAAGCCCAGGAAAGGTCCGGAAGCCTCATTCCAAATTTGGGAGACACAGAGGCCCAGAAAGGTATAAAAACGAACAGCCTCCTCCATGTTTTTGCTCAGGATTTGGAGAGAAACAGCCTCCCTGAGTCCCGCGCTGATACATGTAAAACGTCTGGAAATGACCGGGTTTTTCCTGTGCCTCCGGGACTCCTGCGTATTTTTCGGTCGCCTGGGAAATTCTGTAACAGTCTCACTAGTTTTATTCCGTCCAACCTCAGCGTCATCTTCAGGGAGCTAAGTCCTGTCATTCTAATTTCTCAGTAGCCACGTTTTAAAAGGAAAAAAGAGAGAGGCCAAACTGATTTTGAAGTATATTTTTCTAAAGTAGTATTTTAATACGGTTAATAGGAAAATGACTAGTGAAGTATTTGACAGTGTTTTGTATCAAATTGTTAACGTGTGTTCTGGCCCCGGCCAGTGTCGCTTGGTGGATAGAGCATCAGCCCGCGGACTGCAGGGTCCCGGGATCGATTCCGGTCAAGGGCACGGACCTCGGTTGCAGGCTCGATCCCCGGCCCTGGTTGGGGCTCGTGTGGGAGGCAACCCATCAATGTGACTCTCACATCGATGTTTCTCTCTCTGTCTCTCCCCCTCCTTCCACTCGCTCTAAAAATCAATGGAAAAATATCTCGGGTGAGGATTAACCAAATAAATAAAAATAAAACAATGTATATTTTATACTTACAGCGTATCAGGTGCCCTTGCCCGGAATCGACCCCGTGCCCTCCCAGCCCGCAGGCCGACGCTCTATCCACTGAGCCACACCGGCCAGGGCCATAAATCCCATTACTGATTCACTGGTCCCCCCCACCCATCCCGCCCCTTTTAGGGCATCTGTTTTAGACTGCGGCTAACTGCCAACTGTAACTGAGCATATAATTATCGGGGATTTAATCTATTTGTTTAGGGAAGTTAGGCAATACCACCACCACCACCACCACCACCACCACTACCAGCAAGTCCTGAGAACTCTTTGCGGAAAGTGTTCTGGGGGCTCCCGATACAGTACAGGAGTAACGGGGTTCCTCCGGCCGAGGAGGCAGGTGGCCGGGCCGCCAACCCCCCGCCCCCCCCAAGGCTGAGAGAAGTGACGCAACCTGTCAGGTCGCCCCGGAGCCCGGAAAGGAACCGGGTGGCCTGCTTCCCAGAAGGTGCCGCCCCCCCTTCCTGGGGGCCCCGACCCGCGGGCACAGGCTGTGCCGTCCCCGGAAATGAGTCATTCAGGGGCAAGTTCATTCACTTGAGCTAGATTGTCCAGGCGCTGAGAGAAGGTGCCCTTGCCCTTTGCCCTTTGCCCTCCCGGCTGGCGTCCTGACTCGGAACAGCAGGGCCTCCATGCCCAGCACAGTGACTCATGGCAGCCTGGAAGGGAGGTGGAGGCGGCTTTGAAACGCCCTCCTACCAGGTGTTGCCCTCCCGTCTCAGACCCACGCACGTGGGGAGCCTGAACCCGCCCAAGGGCTCCGTGACGGCCGAGCGTGCGTGCGCGGACACACGTGTGTCCTTACGTGTGTAGAGACTCACGCCGACCCCTGGACCTCCCGGGAGGGTCAGTTCACGTCTAGGAATTCTCCCAGACAGCTCCCCACCCCGCACTGGTCAGGAGTTCCAGGAGCTCACACCATTCATTGCTACGAGGTCACATTTACAAAAAATATTCATCCCTTCTCTCTGCTGCAAATACTCTAAGCTTTGGGGGCTCAGGGCCAGCTCAGGCTCACAGGGGGGCCTCTGAGCCACAGAGAATGTCTGCCTTTGCTGGAAACCAAAACTGCACCCACAGCTGAAACCTCCCCCCACCCCTCCTTCCGCTGGCTTCCCACAGCCACAGGAAGACACTGACAAGATCTCACGCTGCCCCAGCCGGAGGCCAGGGCTGCTGAGTTAGAAGAATCGCAGGAAGAAAAGGCCAGTAGAATGGGGGGTGCTGGGGGGGGGGGCCTCCAGCAACATGCAAAGGTCACACCAAGTTTCAAAACGTCCATGATGACTGAAGTCACCCATGGCTTTGAAAGCCAGTGAGCCAGCGGGGGGATCATCTGCCACCTGCATAGGCCAATCCCAGGGGTTCCCCGCTTCGCTTGCTCCCGCCCCCCTGACCCATCCCCAGTGGGTTTCATGTCACCCACCTCCGCCCCCTCCTTCGATTGCAACGTGTAAAAATAGGCAAAAAACAGCCATTCTCCGGAGCATTCTCCCAATCGGATGAGATGCTGCTTCCTTGCGATTGTGGGCAGTTTGGCTCAAATGAACTCACAAAGATTGTTTCCAGGTTTGGGTGTTGTTATGGGAACGCGCCCCTTCCCTGCCTGGGCCTCAAACAGACCCCCCCTCCCCACAGAGGGAGGGCCAGCCCAGCCCCCACCCGCCCTTTCTGTCCGGGACACAGGGGATCCTGGGTGGACTTGAGGGGCGCCGACCCGATGTGCTATTCCATCCATAACCCTATACTGTCTACTTTATGAATCAATAAAAAATTTACAATTTTTAATTATAAACCTGTGTTTTCTATCAAAATTACTTCTTGCGTGAATTTTGGGACACCCTATATTTGCATCCCGAATAGTCACAGGATTCCTGTAAGCCACTGAGAAGAAGACAAAAAACAGGAAAAGTAGCAAAGAAGGGAAGCAGGCAGGTCCCTAGGTAAGAGCTGGCAGAGGCCATAACCCCACTAGTCATTGGGGCGGCAAGACTTCAACCAGCTACATGAGGACGCTTGTCACCAGCAGAGTGGGGGAATGACGAGATCTCTACAACAGAGTGTAAGGCAGCGGCGAGGGGGTGGGGTGGGGGGGGCAAACACCTGATGCTCTCAGGGACTTGGTAGAAACACTGTGGATGGCGCGGATCTAGTCAATTCAGCCCTGGCCGGTGTGGCTCAGTGGATAGAGCGTCGGCCTGCGGACTGAACGGTTCCGGGTTCGATTCCGGTCAAGGGCACACGCCCGGGGTTGTGGGCTCAATTCCTGGTGGGAGGCGTGCGGGAGGCAGCCGATCCATGATTCTCTCTCATCATTGGGGTTTCTGTCTCTCTCTCCCTCGCCCTTCTTCTCTGAGATCAATAAAAGTATATATTTAAGAAAAGAAGAAATCAAGTTTTAAAAAAAAGGTCAGCTATAAAATATATATATATATTTTTTTAAAAACAAATAAAAATATTATTTTAAATACCCTTGGGTGAAGAAAAATCAGAATAAGCGCCATATACTAGTTTTACATATTTTAAAAACCCTTTTTTACAAAGATGCACTATGGGTACTTTCTGTGGCTATAAATCAACAGCTACGTTTTGCATGTAAAATAATTGGTAACGGGGGTTCCCTCTGGGAAGAGGGGAGGGCCAGGTGAGGGGGGGATGTGCGGAGAGGGCGCCTGGGGACACAGTGTTTTTAAGAAGCGAAGCATCAAGTGTCGGGACATAAAGAAATAGCGGAGCCCTGGCCAGTGTGGCTCAGTGGATAGAGCGTCGGCCTGCAGACTGAAGGGTCCCGGGTTCGATTCCGGCCAAGGGCACATCCCCGGGGTGTGGGCTCGATCCCCAGTGTGGGGCGTGCAGGAGGCAGCCGATCCGTGATTCTTTCTCATCATGGATGTTTCTTTCTTTCCCTCTCCCTCTCCCTCTCCCTCTCCCTTCCTCTCTGTAATCAATAAAGAAATATATATTTTTTTTTTTTAAAAAAAGCAGAGACACCCCCTGTGAAAGGCCCCGTGACATGACTTCTGACAGCGGTCCACGCAGGCCCCGGCTTTCTGAGGCCTCGACAATAGAGCGAACTCTCACTTGGAAATTCTCGAATCAAATTTCTGCCAGTACATCCTCCTTTGATCATCAAGCCTTCACGCAGCCAGGATTTGTTACCTCAGACCAGCGGTTCTCAACCTGTGGGTCGCGACCCCTTTGGGGGTCGAACGACCCTTTCTCAGGGGTCGCCTAAGGCCATCGGAAAACACATCTATAATTACAGATTGTTTTTGTGATGAATCACTATGCTTTC